CTCTTGACCCAGTTGCAGCCGGATTTCCCCCATGTCTCCCTCCGAGCTGTAGCTGCAGCCACCGTCACTGTTGAACTTTCTTCCACAGGGCTGAGTTCTGTTTTCCATTGTAATCTCCTATTGCCCTACACAGAAAGGTAAGCTTAAAAAATACATGTTCTTTGAAATAAAGAAATACACCCATTGTCCACAGGAGTGGCTATGGTGTGAAGAAGACTATTCCTGCTATTCTACAGCACTTATTTCTCTGAAATCACTTGGGGATATGGGGGTGGACATTGTTTGCTTAGTAGCTAGGGGGTGGGGAGCATGTTTAACTAGACAAAAGCTAAATTTGCATCTCATAGGTATAACCCTGCATAGGGAACCATCTGGAGCTGCACAGGTATACAAGGTAGCTCTGTGTGTGCTAGCTGCAGAGGGGTGAGCTGTATAGCTGCTTTAGCACAAAGCTAATTGGCTTAGCTGAGCCAAGTTCCAGGTAGGGAGTTCCAGGCAGGTGCATTAATAATTAGCTGCAATACCTCTGAACAGTGTTGCCTTGAATACTGTACAATCCAGCTGGTGAGCTAGTACGTATGCAGCCAGTGGCATGTTCCTGCATTGTGGCATACAGCCGCAAAGAGGCAAAATGCTACCTTGTTTCTGAGGAAGCATACAAGCTGGTACCCCATGAGAAGAACCAAGTGACTTAAGCTAACCTCCAAAAAATGCCTTTAAATCAAAGCAAATTTGTCATGTATTTGATTGGTCAGTCTAATAATAGCCACTATTGAGGAAGAAAGGGATTTCTGACTTCATTAAGTCATCTTCTGCTTACATGGTAATATTTTTCTCACAGGTCTGAGGCCTGGAACTGACTGAATCGCAGTGCTTGTTGCCTGCCCCTGCTCCTGCCTCTGCTCCTCCCTTTTTCCCCTCCTTTTTAATTTTTGTAGTCAAATTACTCTATTTTATATACTGGTCTGTGCACATCCTTTCACAGCATCTGATGAATTGAGCTGCACTTCAGGAAAGCTTTTACTATATCTCTCTAATTTAGTCTATAAGGGCACTTGTACACATGACGATTTGCCCATGTACACATGATGAAATGTGACGAAAATCACCATTTGGCTAACATAATGATGTCACCATGTATACGTGAATGAGGTTTTGTCGTGTCAAACAATCCTGGAGCATGGCAACTTAGACCACCTCTCAACGTATTTTAGTTTGATCTTGGCAAATTGTCCCACCATGGACAAAAAAAATCCATCCCATGTACATGTCACATACATGCCAACTTACCAATTTATGTGTCCTGAACCCCCTTACCCATGAGGTGCTGCTGCAGTTCACTGGTACTTTCTGGAAATTTGAAGAGTAATTTGTAGGTTTCCTGTGTAATGAATGTTTTAGCACACAAGGTGTAGCTACAGAGCCCAATATGGATCAATCTTCTGCTGACCTCCATTTGTAAGTTCATTAATTAAATAAAATAAATATTTTAAAGAAACCTTTTTCTGTTAGTCGTTTCTCAATTCACTATACTGACAACTATGATGTGTTGGTGTGTTGAAGACTGGGGTGCTTGAACTATGCCAGGCACCCAGGAGCACAGAAGCATTCTTGAAAATCATGTTACAAGCCTCCCAGTTATTACAGGAGACTCCCTCAGTGGTAAAACTTTGAATAGCGCATGGAGCAATTTGAAAATTTTTGACCTGCTACCCATAACAGAGTGACAGCATAAATTGACACCCATCATGTCACTTCAAAGGCGACAGATTAAGACAATGTGGAAAAAACCTCCATCA